TAAATACTTGACATCCGCATTCGCATTCGCATTCGCGGATGTTAGCTGTTAGATATTTGCATCCGCATTCGCATCCGCGGATGTCAAAAATTCCACATCCGCAACATCCCTAGTTGAGACAATAGCTATTTGACCAATATTCGCTTTTTGATTTCTGGAAATATATTTATAATGCCTGCTGCAGCTAAGGGAATCGGATAAATTAGCAGACTTTTCCTGTTGTTTTAGAAAAACTGGATAAAAAAGTAAACTTCCCGAATGAGTTTTTTGTCTTTTTCGCCAATATTTCTCAGTAGTCAAACTTAGACAAAAACAAGTCACTTTTAAGCAAAAAACAAAACCGACTTCAATTCTCATATAAAAATTTAAGAGTACCGTAAATTTCTTCATGATTCATCTAAATCAAATTAGTGTGAGACCACCCATGAGGTGCCACCTTTCCTTTCAAAAAAAAATTATACAATTCGGTTAATGTGGTCCAAAGTTAAACGGTAACTACATAGAAATATATATATGTACATATATATATCTGTGGACATTTGAAAGAACAACTTAAGTCTACATAACAAACAATGCACATATCGAAAAAAAACATATTTTACCGTCAGAGAGAAATGTAATTCAAAAGAAATATATAATTTCTAGCAAAAATTCTATTATGCAGTTTTATAGCCCATTCAATTTAATACAATAAAGTGCAATTTTAAAGTTGCTAAAAACTCCCTTGATTTTTTAATTTTTTTTACTGACGATGTTGGACATTTTCTTCCTTATAACGAATTTTTTTGTGGCAAAAAAAAAAAACTATAAAATGTCAACGGGATGTTTTAGCAACTTCAAAATTGCACATACATATATATTGTTTTAAACTAAAAAAAAATACCATGAAAAATATTCTGAATATTGCAAAAAAAATCTATGCAAAATATTTCTGTGAGTGACCGTATATGCATTTGTACTTGTAGTACAAAAACTATGATATAAATTAATGAGGATATGTACATCCATACATACATATATGTTTGTCAAAAATTATGTTTGTTTTTTGTTGATTGAAAATACTGATTTATCGCCTTAATAAATATGTAAATGAATTACAATAAATTGTACTTTTCTTTTGTAGTATGATTTAAAATACTATAATAGGTGTGTTGCACTTTTGCCTGAATTTCGGGACGATCCCGGGATCCCGGGATTGTATTTTCAGATTCCGAAAATCCCGGGATCGACAAAACCCCGAAAATTGACATCCCTAGTATCTATGTACCAAAAAAATGGTGCGTAAGCTTTACTGCTAGGCTAAAGTGGCTAATGAAAAGCGTGATTGGGAAAAGATAAAAATATGCTTATTGCTCGAATCGAATGCAATTGACGTGAAAGTGATTTATAGCAGTGAAAACAAAACTAAATTTGATAAAAATTTNTCGGAGATTGTGGAGAAATATGTCTTTATATAAGGTTCAATTGGGGGTGAGATCCGGTCCTCGATCGACACCAATGTAGAACCCTCTCTGGCTAACTCGTCTGCAGCCTCGTTTCGGTGATTGTTGCTATGACCAGGGACCCAAACTAAATCTAGATCGAGTTGACGACTTACTGTATTTAACAGTGTCCTACACTCCTTGATTAGTTTCGACCTTGTTGTAAAAGACGCTAAGGCCTTAATGACGTGACGTAATCCTCTACGTTCTAAGAGATGGCAGCCTTCGGCTATAGCGAGTACTTCTGCCTGGAAGACGCTCTCGAAATCGGGCTGATGAATTGATCCTTTTACTCCCAGTGACTCAGAGTTAATACTTGCTCCAACTCCACGTTCCATTTTGGAGCCATCCGTGTACATATGATGTGTCCAGATAGAGATATCAAGTTCCCCATCCCAGTCGGCTCTCGACGGAAGAATGGCCCCGAAAGGCCTGTGAAACTTTACCTCAGGTCGAATGTAATCGGTTGCCAGCCTCAACTTAGGTGGCAAACGGGAAATTATACTGCTATGCCCGATCGTTCTTTCTTTCCATATACCTAGTTCTCTAAGTCTTATAGCCGATAGTGATGCGGTGTGCCGTA